GAGAAGAAAGAGAGAGAGAGAGAGAGAGAGAGAGAGAGAGAGAGAGAGAGAGCCTGGAGAGGCGGGGAAGCTCTGTTCTACTCTGTCAGGGAGAAGAAAATAAAGAGAAATCAGGCTGGCTTCAAAGGGCACATTTCCATAATTGCCCTGTAACTTTGGCAAAAGAAATCTGAGCATCCGGGGGCAGCACAGTTGCCAGATGAGTGCACTCCAAAGGCCCTGGAGGGCTGTGGCCCACTTGTTAGCAGCCTGGTGTAGTGAGAGAATGCAGAACTGTCACCAGCACAAAAGACATGACATCACAGCCTTCATGGCCAGGCCAAGCCAGGGTAGGCTACAGGCCAGGAGTCAGATTTGACCCCGCCTTTGTCTTTGTCCTGATCCCTGACATGAGACACATACATGTGCACTGCCCCCCTCTCTCCTCTCTTTCTATCTCTCTCTCTCCCCTCCCTCTCCCTCCCTCCCTTCATCTCCCTCCTTCTTCCTCTCCCCTCTCTCTCTCCAGCCCCCTGGGAGGGGGTTAAACTAAACACATAACTAAATGGATGCGTTTTGTTGTTGTTCTTGGGAGACCTGGAAGTGGCTGAGGAACAGCAGTAATTACTAGACCCACACTACATGACTTGAGCTCGCATCTGTGACCACCTTTTTGTACCAGCATCTACAAGAGAAAGGCCCCAACCTTTTAGACCGATGTTCTCCTTGGATGGACCCCTTTTTTGCCACCTCGGCTTGGGAAAGGCTTATCTAGAACTGACCTAAGTCCCACTTTTGCTTTTTCCCAGGTTCGCATAGTTAGTTTCCTGTTGGCTCTCTTTCACCCCCACTTCTTCCTTCTAATACTAAACACCTCTAAAGAACAGAAGCCGTCCACTTAGCACTCGGTTTGAACATTTCCTTCAATAAGTTATGGCTTCTGGGAGGAAAGGTTGCTGTGAGTGCCATAGACCCTTGTCACCTCATGCCCATTGTCTCTTAGCTTCAGCACTATCAGCATCTTAGTCATATCCAAATACCCAGCAGGCTTTACCTGTGTGGCTTAGAGGAGCATTGGACACGATGCTGTGGACTCATTCTTGGTGGAGGATCACTTGTGTCCAAAGGACTGTGAGCAGTGATGTTGGCCTCTGTCCCCAAGGTGCCAGTTCTGTCCTCACCCCCTGGTTTTATTCTTCTGCAGGCATTGTCAAACATCCCAGGATGGGAGAGGAGACCAGATGGCTTCGTTGTGGATTACAATACTATTCCTAAGGACTTTGCCATTGTTCCCTACTTCAGAGATTTTTCATCCAGAGACCTCACCTAAAGGGCCTGAGCCTGTTTCTGGGAGCAATCCCATAGCAGGCAGACATTTTTTAATGTGGTCAAGCTACATGGGGGGATCAGATGACAGTGGTCAATTCAGATCAGGAAGGGCTATCTGATGGTGTATGGAGTCCTCTTACCCCACAATTATCTTTGGTCCCATTTTTCTTTTCTGTTTTTTTTTTTTTTTTTTTTTTTTTTTTTTTTTTTTCCCTTTCTTAACCACTGATGGACTTGCAAGAAAGTTTGGCTAAGTCTGTCAAACCCAACCTTTCCCAGATGCTCAAAGTGAGGTATGAGGCTTGTCCCCACTCAAGTTAGAGTTAGCTTCAAACACAGACACAATTTTTACTGACATGCACTTGCCCATTTTTTTTCTCAATGGGGGTTACATGTTGAAGTTTCTGCATCCCAATAAGCCTCTCTGCCGATGCAGCAATCCAAATCAGACCAAATCAAACGGAATTAGAAAAGCCAACATTTAATGGATACAATGCTCCCGGGTGGCCCTCCCCCCCCCCCCCCCCCCCCCACGGGCGGCAGAGAGACCAGAAAACCACACGTCTGTTTTCTGGAGTACAGTTTAAATACCCTATGGGAGTGGTCTTGAGAATCTCTGGGTGAGGGGTCATTATTAGATGGGTTTTCTAAGATACAGCAGGGTTTGGAGAGAGCTAGGAGAGGGGGCTTGGGGTGGAATTTTCACCAGAACACATGTAACCAAGGATTCTAGGAAGGATAGGACTTTGCTAGAAGGCTACAAGGAATCAGTTCCAAAGAGAGTCCACACCTCCAAATAAACCCAAACCAGAAAACATCTCACATACAATTCTTTTCTTTTCTTTCTTTCTTTCTCTTTCTTTCTTTCTTTCTTTCTTTCTTTCTTTCTTTCTTTCTTTCTTTCTTTTCCTTTCCTTCCTTCCTTCTTCCTCTTTCTTTCTTTCTTTTTTTTTCTGAGACAGGTTTTCTCTATGAAATAGCCCCAGCTGTCCTGGAACTATCTCTTGTAGACCAGGCTGGCTCAGACTCGGAGAGATCCACCTACCTCTGCCTCCCGAGTGCTGGGATTAAAGGTGTGTGCCACCACTGCCTGGCCTGAGGTGCAGTTGTTACCCAGGCACCAGTCTCTGTGGCTACCCTACCTCCCCAAACAGGCAACCAGTGGCCGAGGAGCCTTTGGGTCTCCCTGTCCTCCAGGTGCTCAGAGAATGCCACCTGGTATGTGGGGCTTTCCCCCTCTTCACTCCAGGCATAGAGCAAGTGAGTGGTGTTTTATGTACTAGACCCTGGCCCTTCTTTGTCACCTTGGGATAACACTGTACTTCTTCCTGCCTGACCCCATTCCCCCAAAGACAGTTTAGTTAGAAACCATTAATGTGCAGGTAGTCACCTAGGGGGCAATTTTATTTTCCTTAGCCTCCCCAAACCTGGGAGGCACTGCCCCCCACCTAGCTGTGTGCAGATATTGAGGAAGCAGTTCCTCTGATCTGCCTGATCTCCCACACACCTTGGAGGGCTCTGAGTAAACTACTGAGCAGCAGAGGCACTTCCTAGTGGGGGATTGACATATTTCATCTCTAATTGAAGCTGCACTGGAGACAAAATGTTCCCTGCTTCTTACCCCTGCCACCATCTCTACTGCTTCCTCCTAGATTTTAGGCATCAATGGAGAAGGTTCCTCGGACTCCGTCTTTTGTTGGGAACCTGGGAGCTTGCATTTTGCTTTGGGATGAGTGGAGTTAGAAGTACACACTGCATGGAACCATGCCCAGGGTTAGTCTGACTCCACTAGTACTTCCTTTTGCTGTTCTTTCAAGACAGACCTAAGCAAAGGATGTCATGTGGGAATGAGATAGCTAGAAAAGCTGAGTAGTTCCAGAGGCTTCCCAGGAGAGAGGTCCTATGCCTGCTGTCAGACCTGCTGGCCCTGACCAGCCTCTCCACACCCATCTGCCTCCAGTGAGGAAACTCCTTTCATGGGGCACTCCTCCTAGAAGACTTCTGCTGCACACACCAAGATCGCCTTTCCCCTGGAAGTTTTCTTTTTCCCTTGGTGGAGCTGGTTGCAGAGACTCTTGAGTCACCCGAAGGAAGCGTCTTCACTCTTCTGGGCGATGGGAGGGGGTGAGGCAGATACCCCCACCCCTGTCCCGGTACTGAGGATGTTTGTCCGAGCATCTGCAAATGGCTGGACATTGCTACTTAAGAGTGAACACCGGCAGAGCATCCTCTGTCATCCTCGCTCCACCTTGTGAGGCGACTAGCTGATGAGAAAGGACCCAAGGAAGTGAGTTCTATGTCATTGGCCTCACAGGAAGTAAATGGGCAGGCCGTGTGGGCCACAACTAAGCGCTGGGGCTGAGGAAGGGTGTGGCCCTTGTACAGACACTCATGGTGCTAACCAAAGCTGTGGCCCTGACCCAGAAGATGGAGCTCCAGTCTTCACCATGAAGGACCTTGCGCCTCTGAAACACCTTAGCCAAGAGAGCAAGGGGGTATTTGCACGAATATCTCAGCGTCCCTCCCATCCAGCCTGCCCCGTTATCCTTGTCTTTGCCAGCGGCCGCCTCCCTCCTCCGGTCTCTGTTCTGGGGACACACGTTGCTCTCTCACTTTCCTAAGGAAAGCCCCAGGTCCCTCGCGGTGCTGGCAGCCGGGGCAGCAGCTCCCGGACCCGTACACACTGGCTGCCCTCGCTCACAGACTCTCGAGGGTCCACAAGGTTAACTGTACCGGA